CATATGAGGCAGACCTTCGAGACCTGAAGCAACTGCTGCATGCCTTGCGGTATTGACGGTGTCCCTTATGGCGAACTGCTCTGAAAGATGACCGAAAGTGTGACGATAGGTGCATATCTATCGCTCGTTCTACAACGCGTGTGCGTGCGTGTTCTTGGATGTCCTTGTGTTTGGAGACACATTCTGATCCCCAGAGAAAAATCGAAACAACTGCAGCGGATATCCAACCCACGCACGGCAAGCGAGCCTTCACCAATCGCCATTGTTCCGACCAACTCGCCGGCAGGTGCACGGAGGACGAGGTGCGATGACGTACCGGCGCGAGAACCTCAGTCTCGTTCGAATCCTGCGGCGCGGGGGGGGGGGGGGGGGTGTACTCATAGTCGTGCATGCCGTAGTCGTTTGACCATTGACCTCGCATCCCTACAAAGCCGGGACGGAGCACGCCGGGTTCTCACCGGACCAGGCTCTCACATCACCAAGCGCGAAGCGCCGTGAGGTATTTGGCGAGTCGCATGAAGGGTGAGCTGCATCCTGCTAAGGGTGTTCGGCATCTTGGCTTACTTCCTTGCGTACGGATGACAGCTACGTATGACTTAGTTTATTTTCTGGTGCTTTCACTTCCACAGACAGTTGTAAGCACTGTGTAACTGCCTCGAGGAAGCTTGACCATTTTAACACAACGTGGTGCGATCATCCCCCGTTGCGCGGAGTGAGGGTTCTCGACCCCGCACAACATGATCTACTCGACCACCATTTTGGTTACCGCCAAAAAAAAAAAACCGAGGTAAAAAAAAAAACGGTAACCTGGTTGCCGAGTTCACGAAGTGAATTGGCTTCTTTTACAACGTCGTTGCCAAGCGACGAAAACCCGATCCCGATGGCAAACACCGAGTGGGGGGCTTGTTTTACAACGTCGTTGCCAAGCGACGAAAACCCAACCCCGATGGCAAACACCGGGGGGGGCGGCTTGTTTTACAACGTCGTTGCCAAGCGACGAAAACCCAAACCCCGATGGCAAACAAGGCCGAGGGGGGAGGGGGGGGGGCTCCTGTTTTGCATGCCTTAGCTGTTAGACCGCTGACCACACGTCCTCTCGAGAGGACCGATGGAGAATTGTTCCCGCAGGACTGATGGCCAATCCTTCCTTTCCACCTTGCCAATGGTGGCTCAAAAACTGCTCCCCATTCTGTCTTCTCGCCAGCTTAGGCCACTTCTCATTCCCCAGTACATGGGGGGAGGGTTAAGAACAGGGGGGGGAAGACTAGCCATGGTGCGTCGACAGAAACGCCTTCGGGACAGCAACAGAGAGACATCACTATCATCATCAACAGCAGTAGCAGCAGCACCAGCACCAGCAGCACCTCGATGAATTGGTCGACGTCGTCCTTGGTGTTGTAGATGTACAGGCTGGCCCGAAGGCTGCCGGCCGCCCCAAGCTGTCGATGCAAAGCCTGCGTGCAGTGGTGCCCCGCACGAATCGCCACGCCCTCCTGAAGGCAACAGAGAAGACAGCAGGCGATTCCATCCGGGGAGGGGTCATCTTGCTGCTGCATGCACGTGTGATGTTGCTGCATTGTACTGGGGGCGTCGCCGCGGTATGTTGAGCTTCGGGGGAGAGGGGTTACTTCAGTGGACAGTCTGGCCCCCCAGGACACAAACAAGACGACAACGTACTCGAAACAACCCAAGATTTTTTCCGATCGGGTTTTCACCTCCCGCATTTAGCGAACAGTCACCAGCCCAAAACCTCATCAGGCGAGCCTCCCCCATGCACCAAGCGAACCGGCATCGGAACCAAAGTTCGCTACCAAACCAAGGACGCGGGCGCCCTCGATGTCCTACTCAAATTTCGAAAGAAGAACGGTAAATTAAAAAGACGCCGGACAAGGTGAGGAAACAAACACGACTGAAACAACACGGCCGTACCGCCGTGGTTCTACTTTTCGGCATCCAAAGATTCAATGACAAACAAAATGCCAACTCGAGGGTCTAATTCTCTCTCTGCCGCCCCCCCGTCCACCCCACTGACAAGGCAGAGTACCGCAGGCTACGTCTAGTGACTGTTTTGGGCATGCTCTACAAAATATAATGAAGCAACGCGAGAACAACAGCGACAAAAAAAAGGCAAAAAAAAAACAGACTTGCCTGGTCCATGAAAAAGGAGAGGTCATGAGCGTGAACGTCCCGGCTGTTGAAGGCCAGAAGAGGGTTTCTGTTGTCCCCCGAAGCGTTCGGGGGCGGGCCGTAAAAGTCGAGCCCCTCCACTTCCGACAGTCGCTCCCAAAGATACCTGAAAACGAACCCGTCAAACGGGGTCCCCACGACGACGACAAGGGTAACACGTGCCGGGGCACTACGGTTGGCTCGCGGGGGGGGGGGGGGGGGCCTGCTCCCCAAAAAAACCCTTTGCAAGGTTTGTGTCCCAACCAAGGAACCAACCAATTTGGGCGGG